CATATAGTATTTCAAATTCCTTTGTTCTCTTCTCTGGGCTGTGGATGCAGTATGCTACCAAACAAGCATTTCTCATTTGTAACTGTTCATATTTACTAATTTTCACTTGTCGCCTTCAAGCTGTGTTTGGAGGAGACAGAGTGGTGATCCAAATACCGATCCCTGAGAAACCACTCTCTCTGCTGCCCCACTGCTCTTAGAAACTGAGCCAGGGTTCGAGAGCCCTGGTTCCCCTGCTCTGACCCCTGGGGAAAACAGCAGTAACACAATGCGCCCGACAGCATCATGGGCTGTGTTGAAACTGCCTCAGTTACATCTATACCACACCAAGCTGTGCGTCACCATGGGAGAGTCTGCCTGAAGACGCGTCTGGGATTTTTTTTTTTTTTTACGTCTTAATTAACTTTCACCTTGTTAAGGCAGAACACACACCCTGTGAAGACACCTCGTGTGAACTGTCTTCGACCTCATATTGTTCAGTTATCGGCTGTTTGTCATACCAGGGCGGGGAACCTAATAACAATATAAGGAATGATTTTTTTTTTCCCATCTTACATATTTCTCCTGTGGGCTTCATGTCCACATAAACAGGCTTATGTTGCTGGTTTCCTCTGTTCGTCTGCAGTTGTCAGACGAGGTGAAATGACACTGCTTCCTATTAAACTTTGAGCAACGACAGGCTTGGTTCTCCCACGTGTGGTTTCTCGTGAACAGTGTCACTCCGTAGTGGTGTGATGTAAAAAAAACACTGCTCCTTCCATAAAGTGATCTTGTATCGTTCTCCACAGCATTGTTCAGTTTCAAACACACTTTCAAACGGGTAGGAAAGAAAAATGTGTAAAGTGCAAGATTACATTTATTTCTTATATTGTCTTTCCTAGAGAAACGAGTATGTGAGAAGCGAGTATCATAAGATAAACACTTGAAAAAAATACAACACTTCTTAAAAAAATAGAAGTATTTCTATATGTAGGAAAGGGCTATCAGTCCATCAGTGTGGCAGTGAGTAAACTGATTTATATAAGGTAAGAATGTCATAGAGGCACCCTGCTCATGCTGAATACTCTGTAGTACGGAAAAACACCAAGTGAGGAACGAAAAACACCCGAAATAGAAGCCGTAGTATACTTGTAAAATTAAAGACAAACCCAGTGACGTAGCAGTCGAGGGCCAGCAAAACAGGTAGTAAAAGACTGGTACAGCAAAAAAAAAAAAGCAGTATTAGTGTACTCCTCCAGGCTAAAGTGTAGACTTGAAGGTCTATATTGCGAAATAATTATTACTAAGAAAACTGATGTTACCATAATAATGGGTCATTTGTGACTTTTATGTGGCTCCCTCACTGTCAGAATAACCCTAATCTCTCTCTTTGCGGTCGTTCCAAGTGTTCACTCCCAACACCCACACAATGAATATATTCCAGTAAGATTGTTCCTTCGAAGTTTATACACAATAAACAATTATCCGTCTTGCTGAAAGCCAGCCGCAGTGCCCTGTTCTCCGGGTCTTGGCTCGGGTTTAAATAAAATGTTAATTTTGACTCGAAGAGGATTTCAAAGCGGTTGCCTGTACTTTTTATTTTGATGTGAGCCACAAGTTCGCAAACTGAGGGTTACTCTGTTTTGAAAATAGATAGGATTTATCTGGGGAGGGATTATTTATTTTTATTTTAGAGTGCATTGAGGTTTTTTTTTTTGTTTTGTTTTGTTTTTTTTTGCTTCTCTGAAGTCGAAAATGAAAACTGAAAGTAGGAGGGATCTTTAGGTGTAGCTGTTCATGTGGTTGTACATATATATTCTTACTCTGGGATGTATTATTTTTTTCCAGAAGTTGGATTCTTTATTCTGAAAATATTGTAAATATTTAAATTTATTTTACTTTTTCTCTTTACATTTTTTAAGTAGGTATTCACTGTATTCTGAGTTAAGATAGCTGCTGTCTGTCTTTACTGACTTTTAACTAGTGTTTCTGGAGTTGAAGGCAGCCAGGCTCCAGTTATGAGCTACCATGTCCTAATGACCAGCCCCTTTGACCAGAGGGTTCAGGCAATCTTGGTATCCCGGGGCAATTATAAAATTTACATCCGAGAAATTCACACTGTTGCTCGCTCATTCTTCACAGTGGGGTCAGTCCAGACAGAAGCTTGTTCCATTTCCAGAGCGGCACTCTTCAGTTTCCTGTTCACATGGGGCTCAATCCAAGACTCCACGGTCCCTCTGTCTAGAAGAGGGGTCCATATTCTGACATCTTTAGTCTTAGAACATCGCTATGCTGCCCAGCCTGAACACACCACAAACAGGAGCCCCACACTCTCCAGACACGGTCCAGCAGGACACTGAATTAAATGTAAAAAAAAACAACCCGTGTGAACCACTCACTAGTAGCATCTTAATTTTAAGGAAAGATGCTCTGCATCTTTGACGTGTTGCCCTTACCACGTTTTAAACATTTGACAGTAGCCAGATGGATCAGCAGCAGTAAAGTGACTGTGATGCAAGTGTTCAGATATCCAGAACAATGAATTAAGTGGGAATGCTGCTGTTTCTATGTGTATATATGAACATAAACATGCACTGATCCACAAAATAACTGGAACTGTTGAAATCTGCTCCAAGTGGTGCATTCCAAGTTACCAGCCAGGAGTAAAGCTCACCAGGGTCAACGAAAGTTGCAAATTCTTCTAAATGAATTGTTGAATCAAAATGCAAGGCATCAAGCAAAACAGTATTATGTTTCGTTTTTGACTTATAGTCCTGCATGTCGATTTAGACAGGTCAGTCATAAAAGGTCATGCATTGGTTGATTGGTTGATTGATTGGATTTCGTGTGTGCAGACCATCACAGAGCTGCAGACCAGCCTGAGCACCGCGAGAGAGGAGAGCCGGCAGCGCCAGCGGGCAGCGGAGAGCCAGCTCCAGGAGACAGCCGCGCGCTGGGAGGAGGAGAGGAGGCAGCTGCTCCGCGATCACGAGAGAGAAATCCGGGTAGGAATCCAACCGGTTCCCCCTGCAGATACTTCCAAACCTGAGGGCCAAGCCAACACAGTAAAAGAACCAACCGTCAGTAAAAGAAACGTACTGGAGAATAATGGGCTGTGCTTCCATAGCACTGTTCTTTAGAGCAAGCATCCCATTCAAATAACATGGAAAGTGTAATCAACCCAGAAGTGCATGGAATTAACAGTGCATTCAATAACTTGGCATTACATCATGCATCACAATTCTACAATTATAATGCTTTTCAAAGCTTTCAAACTTACCAAATATGATTTAGGATTTCAGGAATTGAGCACTCGTATTCCCAACTACACAGCCTGTGATGTGATCTAACAAATGCAGTTTGCAGGTGAGGAAATGGAAAGTGTGGAGATGGGGGGAAGCATCTGTGATTGCTTTTCGCACCCCACTTTTTGTTAAATAGCATACCAGTACAACACAACAGGAATAATGAGAATAATCATCATTTCTTTACATTTTATAAAGAGTTTTTCATTCTAATGCATCCCAGAGTGCTTTATATTTAAGAAGGGACACCCCATATCCAGGCCTAAAATGCAGCTCCCTCCTTGGTGCAGCTCTTCAGCCCCACTGCACAGCAGATCATGGGAGGAGAGAGCAACTGCTTCACCATCTGAACATGCGAAAGGCAGGATGTTACACGTCAAGACCAAGTAGCAAGGAGCTCAGCTTACTGGCTGATCTTAATGGCGGCACCATTGTCCCCAGTCAGGGCGCAGGTTTGGAAATTGTCGAAGACAGGGGCCTTGCTTCTGTTCCAGTCGTTGCAGTCTGTTCCAACTGGCCTGGCTGTTGGATCTCAGGCCAAAAACTGGGCCCTCTGTGAGCTGTCAAACATGGCATCAGTACTTCATTTCTTTTTAAAATTAAGCAGTCTCCCCTCTTATTTCTTGTAGATTCAGAATTGAGCGCTCACGTTCCAAACTACATAGCCAGTAACTGACACTGACACTGTTGGCCCTAGCGGTCTCTCTCAGTTTCGTTGCAAACACTCTACTCCTTGTACACAGACCAGGATATTATAAGAAAACATTCCCCATGTCCACATCTCACATTCCAACCACAATACGTTGCATGTGTGAGCTATCAAGGGATGTGGCTGGGGCTGCACAACTAGAAAGCATTCCTTCGTTATCGCCCGCCCTCAGAATTAATTGTACATTAACAAGGCCTGTTAATTGCAGGCTGCTGATTAAAGTTCCAGAGACACCGGGAGTGAGAAATAAGAAAGGCAGGCTGAGTAAGGAATGCAGGTTTGTCTTCAGAGCGCAGGGCGACCACGTTGCATACCGACAGCGTTACCCAGCTGCGCGCTTCAAAGACCGCTTAAAAATGCTAAAGGCTAAAACAAAAGAAGAAAACCATCAAAGCACCGCACACTGAAATGTAAGAATTCCTGTACAGTAGTCCTGCTTGCTCGGCCTCATACCAGAAGTCCTTTTTCTCCTTGAAGATGAAACCGCTGATTTGTTTTGATTTGCCTTGAAGTGCTCCGTCTTTCTGAAATCTCAGGCAGGTCTGTACAGTCTGCCCTTGCAGAGCCGTCTCAGCCTGCTGTCCCTCAGAGGAAGCTGGAAGCTTCTCCAGACCATCATCTTCACCCTGTGTCGCTGTCCTGCTGTGCATTTTCCGCTCAGAGAGAGAAGCATTGAAATCCATTTTTTTTCACGCGTGTTGGCATAGATCACGTTTGAAATATTTCCATCCCACTTTAAAAAAAAATAATAATCTCAACACAAAGGTGTTTTCTTTGGCTCGCGGTGCCACCTTCACGGTTTTTTGCATACACGGTCGTGCTTTGTTTAAATCCCAGAGATCAAAAGGCTCGATGCAAATTCTCAGAGACGTTACACATTTGATGTTTTGTAACGCAAATCGCAGCAGCGCCTACAGAGGCGGCCGCCGCCGTCACAGGACTCGATCACCCTGCTGTGCCGTGGGGCTGCTGTCAGAAAGATGACTCCTAGAAAACAAACAGCGAAGCCCTTCTGCAGTCAGGGTAGTGTTTGTATTTGCAGCCTTTCACCTGCCCGCATCCCTGGGAATATTTTAACCCTTAACCCTCACACATGAAACCCAGCCCTTGCTGCTGGCTCTCCTGTCGCACCTCCGTGCTGCTGTAGTTCCTGAGCCCCTGCTGCCCGATGATGGTTTTCTACACAGACTGTGATAAGATGCATGGGAAGCATGTACATACTGTAGGCTATTGTGTGTTGTAGCAATACATGACGGTTCTTCAACTTTAACCTTTATATAACTTCACTGTTCTTTCAAAGGTTGGAAAATTGTCTTCGGCATCACTACTAACAAACTGAAACAAATAACACTCGACATAAAGTAAATACATGTTAAAACAAACAGCAGTCCTAACCATGCAACAATACATACATATATACACACGTGTCACTCTGCCTATATTACACTGTCATTATACTAATCCGATGGTTTCATACAGGAAAAAGTCACTTAGCTGCGTTTAATATACTGACTGCACAGGGAATAGAACATTTCTTGTAGATGTTTTCCTTGGCCATAGGCATTCTAAACCGCCTCCCTGAAGGCAGCACGTGGAAATGGGAATGAAGAGGGAGGGAGGGGTCATCAACGACAAACTGAGCTCTCCTTTGAACAGCAGTATACTGTACTACAGCCCTGTAAACTGTTTCTGTGGTCCACCAATTACTTTACAAGCAGCATCAACAATTCCTTTACTCTTAATGCTCAGGCTACCACATCACACCGTGATACCAACAGTAAGGATGCCATCTACTAACACTCTGAACTCCCTCTCTTAAACAGTTTGACTCACCCCAAGCCCATTCAGCTTCCTCATCAAAAATATACACCAAGTGGTATTCTTCTCTGCGAAACTTGAAGTTTAAACTTTACGTAAAATTTATCAAAACTGTCAGAGGAAGAGCAACCGAATGAGATGCTGAATGCATCCAAGGAATCCGATATGAAAGCCAAAATTGAACACAGCACTCCATCTATTTCCACAGCATGTCGGCTTTCCTATTCAAAGCACCATAAAGGCAACGTCAGTAGCATCCGATGTGTTGGGCATAAGCTAGATGAGGCCGATTTGAAAAGCAAACTAGAGATGGTTACATAGTAATGACTACATGGACATACAGTTTTCATTGTATTCAGTGTCCATGTACTGCTTGGACATTATATATTGCATACACCATGGACACATAGCAGCTCTATTCATATTGATTTTGTGATTTTTGTGAGCTCACAGAAAAGACATTTCATTGCCAGCAACTACTGCTGCACGCTGTATTGTTGTGCATTTGATAAATAAACTTTGATTTGATTTTGATTTGAAATGTTACGTTCCAGTGGAGAGCAGGGACACCAAGGGAACCTTGCAGGTGTGAGATTTTTATTGCAATTTTCTTTATGGGTTGATAATAACAATAATAATAGTGTTGCTGTTTTTATAGCATCTTTAAAAGTAGCATATCAAGGTGCTTTACATTAGGTGTAAACACAAAAAAACAAGTTAGAATGAGAGAAAACAGTTACAAGGGTAGCAAGTTACATAATAAGCACATATAAGAAAGGCAAGTGCTTAGAAGTGCACCAGCAGATACACTACATGGCTATTAGAAAATAGAGCAGACACAGACACTAATTAGATAAAAGCCTTTCTGCAAAGCAAGGTTTTGAGTCTAGATTTAAATGCACTCAGGGCAGGTGACTCTGATATCCTTGGGGATGGAATTTCTGAGTTACTAGGGTACACCAGGTAAGGCCCTGTTTTAGGGGAAAGAGAGGAGACCAGAGTCAGGCTAACTCCCAGGCTAAGTTGGGAGGTGGGGAGTAGACGGGTAATAAGTCAGACAGGTGCTGAGGTGCCAAGCCATGAGGGTCTTGTAGGTGAACATCCGGATTTTGAAGTCAATTCGAAACCTGATAAGAATCCAGTGCAAGGATCCCGACTGGTGCAACGTGATCACTTGCACGCGACCTGGACAGGATTTCCGGCTTCCAAATTCCGAAAATAATTGGAGTTTGTTCAGTGCGGATTTTGATACCCCAGCGAGTAGGACATTGATGTAATCAAAGACGAATGTGTTGATCAGCTTTTTTTGCTGCAAAGACAACATAGTTTGTAGTCCGGTAATATTTCTGAGATGGAAGAATGACGTTCTTACAGTATTCTTTATGTGAGGGTCAAAACTCAAGCCTGGATCAGATATCACCCCTAAATTCTTCCATTTTCGTTGAAATAGAAGCACATTGCCGTCCGCAGACAGCGTTCCTGCATTGGCTTTATGAACATGATGGGAGGTGCCGAGTAGCATGACCTCAGTCTTGTCTCAGTTTAAATTAAGATATTTTTTAGTCATCCAGATTTTTATATCAGAGATTAAATTAAGAGAGTGCAGAAACACCTGTTGAATACTGTCATCTTTCCATACCCCACCCATAATTAGGTATATGAGGGATCACTATGTCTGCTGTCTGTCATAGGGTAATAGCAGTGTGGAGCAGTGCTTAGGGATCTGGACATGAAACTGGATGGCGGTGAGCGAGATTCATTGCCTGAATTGCTCCAGTAAAAGACCCAGCTATTAAAGTGGGTGCAAGTGTATTTCGCATTGGATAACAGCGTCAGCCAGATATATCAGTAATTCATAATAGTGGTGTTAAATGAAATAAATGCTTATTAATTCACATGTTGTATTGGTATTCATTCGGCCACTGCCACTGGCTTACTAAGCTCGGAATAAGGGTCTGGCGCAAGCCACGATCGGGTATTCACCACACCGGCTGGACGGACCCAATGGCCTCTGCTTTGTGACCTTTCCCAGGTCTTCAGCTGGCTGTGGTAACTGAGAAGACTTCAGACCCCGATGAGAAGTGGCAGTGTAAACACACCTGTTGGGCCTGAGGTGGCGGGACGATCTTTGAAAACTAGACATGCTATAGGATTATGGGGCCGGTGGATGTGG